CTGACCTGCTGGTGAAACAAGCTCTCTTCTTTCTAATGACTCATCGGCTCCGGCGCACACACACATTCATTCACAGGCCAGCTGGGCTGAGAAAAAAAATTGTGAGGAATCATCTCACGGGGAAGGAGAAGGGGAGAGCGGAGAAATCAGGCTGCTGCAGTGTAACCAAACGGTACGAGATTGGGGGGTGAAAAACAGCACGGGTCCGATGCAGACACGCGCACGGCAGAATCTCGTGTATTAACGGAGCACCTCAGCTTCTGACGTGCCACCGCAGCAGTTCTGTAAACGTGGTTTTAAGGAGGTCGCTAATCCCTGTTTTCCGTCTCTTCCCGCCTCCCCTTTTGTAGGTTTGATCCAGATAGATTCAATGATGAAACTGCCATGAAAAATCTCTCTCTCTTGGGCTTTTCAGGGAGTCAGGAGTGCCCCGAGCTGAGGTGAGGAAACCAAAAAATGTGTCTTCGTTGTTATGGGCGGTGAGGGGGAGCTCGTTTCTCATGTTGTTAGAACTTCTCCGGGTTGTTCGAATTTGTCCAGAGGAAAATTTCCCTCAACAGAAAGGGAGATCGTTTTCACAGATTCTAGCCCCCCACCCCACCCCGGTTCTGGGGTCCCCAGTCCGCCTGGCCCCAGGAGCAGCATTTCAGGGGCCATTTTGGACTGTGGTGGGAAGGGAAGACTCGAAGCCCCACTCTGCTGACAGAAATCCCTTCAATCGATGGTGATTTCCCTCAGGCTCCGAATCATTGATGGTCACATGATCTTCACAACTAGACTTCCCACATTTACCTTGTCGCTTTTTTTGGTTCCCAGGTTTGCCTACATGGTAGCTACCGTACTGCTGAGTGTGGTGGTCAGGAAACTGCACCTGCATCCTGTGGAAGGGCAAGTTATAGACATCAAATATGAGCTCGTCACCTCACCCAAGGAGGAAGCGTGGATAACTGTGTCCAAGAGAAACTGAGGCGAAAAGGGAAACCCGTTCTCCCGAGAAGAGCCGTCTGGCCCCACTCCCTGCCTCCTGGCATCTTAGTCATTCTGAATCCACTGCAGCCATTTCCCCTCCTCCTTTGACAATAAGAGCAGGTTATCTTTTACTGTGAATGTACTCGGTAAAGATAGAATATGGTAGGCTAAAAAAACCTGTAGGCCGTCCATTCTGCCCCGTACTCCCATGCCTTCTGATTTGGAAGCCCTTACCTCTGTTCTCAAGTGGGAGTGGCCCGTTGTGGTAAAAGAACTCTGCACATGCACAAAGGAACTCTTTTTCTATATGAAGGATCTTTTTAATTGCTCAGGCGGACGCTTGGCTAGGAGGATGCATTTGAGGGCTAGATCCCAATGAGCTACGGCTTCAATCTAAGCCCTGACTTTGCTTACAAAAAATAATAAAAGGTTTCAAACTGTCCTTTTGCCAAGCTAGGGCAGAGGTATTAAGCACATTTTTCATTAATAAAGGTGTGAAACCCGGCAGCTCTCCCCTACCCTCTTTCTTACTCTGTCCTGTTGCCCAGCTGTGATGGAGAAAGTGAACGTTATTGGTTGTGGAATGAAACTGGATAAATCTATGGATGAACAGGTGCTTTCTAAAGCTCATATCTAATTACCAATAGAGACGTTCTACCTACCCTTTGGTGTTCGTAATCAGGCCTTTAATCCAGCCAGTATTAGGCACGGCTAAACCTTTTTGAAAACAACTGAGCAAATGTTGGTCTGCTTTCTGTTGGACTTTGCTGACTTCAACTGCAGTGAGAACACAGTGGGCCCAGAATGGCCGTGGGAATGGATTCTGGATGCAGATCTTATTCCGGATGTAATCAGTTGAGAATAATGTACCCTTAAAGAGAGAGGTGATTCTTTTTGTCTTGATCTGGAGTCCAGTGAAAGCCTGTTGGCAGTCCAAAATGGCAGTTTGGGGTCTTTTTGCTGTACCGCACAGAGAAGGATCACCCCAACTGCAAGGCCACTGCGATGTTTAGTTTCTAAACCATTTCTGAGGAAGATGAATTCAGAGTAGTAGTAGCCTTTACCTGTGACGTGCCAGGCGTTGATTTTATGTTTCCAATTAGTTTCAGATTAATTGATCCCCCCCCTCCCCCGAAAGCAATTCTCTCTTTTTTCTTTGTACTTTTTATTGTGTATTTTCTACTATGTAATTAGCTACAATAGAAAAAAGAGGCACTTAAAAACCACTTAGCAACATCAGTACACTGCTTTTGAGAAGCCAGCTACTCTAACTGGTTACTCGGGGAGTTTCACTTCCCTGGCATATCTTTCTAAGCATGGAGCTCAAAGGTGCTCTCTGGGTTGTTTTATAAAACTGTTGGTTAAGCTGCGTAGGCGTCTGCCGGGGAAAGAACATCTCTTCTCTCGGCCTGTGGCACTACCCTATTGTATGAGGCATGCTAATCTTCAGAAGCGTTCATCGGGGAATAGAGGCTGGTGCATGGAGGAAATCTCCTTTAGGGTTGGGAATTTGGACACAGCGGTCTTTCCAGCATTGCGATTTTACAAGATTTCCGGGGCCGATGCATTTGATTTTGATCAGAATCGGGGACGATAAAATTTGCCAAACGTCAGCACTGCATAGCTTGAGGTTGGTCTGGAATGAAAGGAGAACAGGAAGAAAACGCTGACATGGGAGATTTACCGCTGCTTGTTGCAAAGGCAGGCAGATGCTTTAACCCTCTAATCACCACAGAATCAACTTACCTTGTATCAAGCTTTAGGTAGTTATTCTCAGGGAAAGGCTGATGGGAATAATGGCACAAGGCAGTGGCGGTGGAGGAATACCACCTTTTGATTTGACCAAGGACGGAAAGAGAGTGCCGGAAATCTTGAGCAACAATGAGAAAGCTGCCTGTGGACTCAGCGGCTAATAGGAATTCAATTATTTTAATTTACTTGATCCTTGTCTCCTTTTGGTTTTCTATGTATCTATGTATCTTGTCTCTGTTACGTTATTTTCTTTTTTGGTTTTGGTTTGATGTAAATTGGTTGCTTAAGTTGATGGGACCCGACCTGGGTAGCCCGATCTCATCAGATCCTGGAAGCGCAACAATGAGAAAGCTGCCTGTGGACTCAGCGGCTAATAGGAATTCAATTATTTTAATTTACTTGATCCTTGTCTCCTTTTGGTTTTCTATGTATCTTGTCTCTATTACGTTATTTTCTTTTTTGGTTTTGGTTTGATGTAAATTGGTTGCTTAAGTTAGAATGACCTGACCTGGGTAGCCCGATCTCATCAGATCTTGGAAGCTAAGCAGGGTTAGCACTGGTAAGTATTTGGATGGGAGACCACCAAAGAAGTCCAGGGTTGCGATGCAGAAGCAAGCGATGGCAAACCACCTCTGATCATCTCTCACCTTGAAAAAACTGGGGTCATAAGTTAGCTGTGACTTGACGGCAAAAAAAAAACCTGTTTTGAGGGAGGTGCTTCAGGCCTAAGCTGACTCAGGGGCCTGTCACACCTGCTGAGGGCAATCTCTTTTGGTTGGTCACTGTATGATAAATTGTACATGATGATTATCCTGTCACTGTAGCTACTTAAGCTCGCTTCTGATAACCACGAGAGAAAGAGAGCCTCGCTTGCATGCCAGACATGCTGATTCAGATGGAAACAGAGCAGAACTGTTGTCTAGACTAAATGTCTCTATACAACTGGCAATTCTGGACTAAGGATCCGTGGAGTCCCCTGTCTCTAAAGTGATTTCAGAGCCTCTGCACGAGAGAAAGAGAGCCTCGCTCGCATGCCAGACATGCTGATTCAGATGAAAACAGAGCCGAACTGTTGTCTAAACTAAATGTCTCTAACTGGCAGTTCTGGACTAAGGATCCGTGGAGTCCTCTGTCTCTAAAGTGATTTCAGAGCCTCTGACGGGGTTAGGCGCTCTACTCCACGCCTCACGTCAACAAGCGGCTTGATTTGGTATGTGAAGTGGACGGAGAGGTTGCTAAGAAAAATGGAGTGATCTGCATGTGGTCCAAGATGGCCATCAAGGGTGGGCGTGGTTCAAAGAGGTTCTCATTGGGGGATTCTTATCCTGAAGAATTGCCCAGTCAAAATGGCTGTATTTCAGTCATATGTTCATTTTGACAGAGGTGGTTGTTTTCTGGGAATAACAGTCCCCTCATGACATGAACACCTTTTCAATGATGTAGAAGAAGAGTTGGTTTTTATACCCAAAGGAGTTTCCAGAGCTGCTTACAATCACCTTCCCTTCTTCTCCCCACAACAGATACCATGTGAGGCAGGTGGGGCTGAGAGAGCTCTGAGAGAACTGTGTCTGGCCCAAGGTCACCCAGCTGGCTTCATGTGAAGAAGTGGGAAATTAAACCCGGTTCTCCAGACTCTGCCACTCTTAACCACTATTGCCACCTGCCTTCCCAACAGTTCTGAATATCCAGTGTGCCAGCGAGCCAATTCTTAGTTGTTCACCAAAGCAACATTTCCTGACTACCACAACAAGACCAGTAACCTAGTCTGCCTTGAGGTACCCTGGCTTAGAAAGGTCACTATCTTACACTCTTAACCACTATTGCCAGCTGCCTTCCCAACAGTTCTGAATATCCAGTGTGCCAGCAAGCCGATTCTTAGCTGCAACATTTCCTGACTGTACCACAACAAGGCCAGTAACCTAGTCTGCCATGAGGTACCCTGGCTTAGAAAGGTCACTAAAAGCTCAACTTTGGTTTACTGCCTCGTGCCATCCCCACCTTTGGGGGGGGGGGTCTTCACACTTTCCCAACTAAGCCATATCATAGCTACAGCACAGCTTCAGGGGTAGAGGTGTTTCTGGGCTGTGAGGGGACCCAGTGCTTTGTCACTTTTGTGTTTTTGTGTAGACAATGGACAAGAAGGTAGCAGCATCAGTGAATACTATGGGGATGGGGTGTGGGGGGGCATATTTTTGGGCCTGCCCATGTAGATGCAGCCTATCTCTTCTGTATCTTGGAAGCTACACAAAGCTTAGTTGGTTCTTCTATTCTAACTACACCCTCGCTTCCTTCCTCTCCTTCCCCCTCTCTTGGCATAGAGGGAAATTAGTCTGCACAGCAGCAGACGGTCAGAAGAGACAAACTTCTCAACACCAGCTTTGGATTGAATTAATGGCCATTAAAATACAGCTGTCTCCTTATGCCACAAATCAAGTTTCTGTAAATTGACTTCTTGCTTTGATTTTTGTCACCAGGTTGCCAGGGGAGGAATTTTATTTTAATACTCCCAGCGCTCTTTTCTCCTTTCCTTTTTACAAATCTATTTTTAGTTGACGGATACATGACATTACTTAAAGCAGTTTTTATTTCCCTGTTTTATGTAAAACGCCTTCATCGGCAGTTGGCCGGGTGGGTGGGAGCGCTTGATTGATAAGATGAGCGTTATTGAGTTGCTTGAGGTGAAACAGGAGCTCTGCAGATCTCTGCTCCTCTCACACATTTCCATGGCAGGGTGCAAAAAAATAATTGGCCTTCAATTCTGTTTTAGTCTGGCCTTTCCAAATTGCTCTGTCATGGATCACAGTTCGTGACGGACCATAACAGCCTGGCCACCTGTGCTCTTTGGAGGCCTTTGGGTCCTTCTGGCATGTGAGAAATCAATAACAAAAACAACTCCTTATCGTAGGATATGAATAAGGTCTTGACTCTCAAACTCCTGCCCTTTAGAGTTCTGCCCCCTGAAGGGCATGCTTACAGTCCGGGTGACTTCTGTTCATTTGGGGGTCTGTCCTGTCTTGCTCTCAATCCGTAATCCAGTGCTACACAGCAAGGGGACGCTTATCTGTTGTCTTCCAAGACTGCATCCTTAGTATGCTGAAACTCTTAAAAAGAGGTGGGCACTCACCTGTATAATAACCTCTCTTCTGCGACTTCGAATGTGCAGAGGGGGCAGCGGGAGAAGAACGCCCAAGGAAGGATCGGCTTAAGGCACACAATTGCCCTAACAGCCAAATAGAGGATGGAGGCAATATTTCTATAGCAAGGTTCTCCAACAGGGCGCTCATGCGTGCTCCACACACACCAGCGCCCTTTCTGGTGTCCATCAAGTATTTTTGGAATGTGTGTGGGGCCAGGTAGGGGCTTTTGCCCAGCAAGGCTTTTGATTGGCTATTGGAGATTTGATTTTCCATGCTTCACTGTGTGACCGGAGCTAAGCGATGGCAGCCATTTTGTGTGAAATGTCAAAATTAGGGATGCCAGTCCCCAGGTGGGGGTGGGGGTCCCTCAGTTTTGGGGGCTCACCCTAGACACTGGCCAGCAGGGGGGAAGCCCCACCCCAACAGTCTTCCGTGGCCCCAGCAGGCACCGTGAGCTCCTGCCCCATGAGCCACAAATTCGTGGCTTGCGGGGCAGGCGCTCGCGCCACCCATTCTTTCCAAGCGGGGACCACTGTCTCCTGCCCTGCAAGCTGCAAATTCACAGCGTGGGGGTTGCCCGCTTTCCCCCCAACCATTTAAAGGTTTCCCTTTAAAT